ATGAGGACATCATCTACATAAACCAAGAGGAAAAGAGCCCTCTAGGAGAAATATTTAGTAAATAAACAAAGGTCATGAGCTGATTGATGGAATCCATAAGCCTGAAGCTTAACACATAACTCTGTATTCCACTGCCGGGAGGCCTGCTTTAAGCCATATAGACTGCGTTTCAATTTACAAACCTGCCCTGGTAATGATTTGGTATAACCCTCAGGTGGCTGCATATAAACTTTCTCTTCCAAGTAGCTATGAAGAAAGGCATTGTTAATATCCAATTGGTAAATAGATTAACCTTTTCCAGCCACAACTGGCAGGAAAAGTCTAATAGTAACAAGCTTAGCCACCGGTGAGAAGCTATCAAAATAATCAATTCTTTGCATTTGATGGTAACCTTTTGCAACAAGCCTAGCTTTGAGCCTATCCACTGTACCATCAGCATGAAATTTAACCTTGTAAACCCATCGTGAACCAATAGCTTGCTTGCCAGGTGGAAGCGTGGTCAACTCCCAAGTCTGATTTTTTTCCAGTGCATCTAGTTCTTGTTGCATGGCTTTAATCCATTCAACACTCTTGCTGACTTGACTATATGAGGCAGGCTCCTGTGCAATTGATACATTTACCAGAAAACACTATATGAAGGGTTAAGCTGTGGAGAAAAGGTGAAGGAAAAGGTAGATGGAGTATACCCAGAATGAGGTGGAGAGACCTTTGTGCAGCATGAAGCAGTTTCAGCAATTGGCAGAACTTGTGTGGTATTAACATTTGTGATATAGTCTTGCAGCCAAGATGGTTGAGATTCAGTTTGAGTACTATGTCTAACAATTGTAGTAGAGGAGTCATGATGAGGGAGAGACTCAGGACAAGTTTCATCTGCAGGTTGATTTTCTGAGAAAGGAACCTGTAAGAGGGGTACATCATCTACAGGGTGTGAAGTATCATAAGGAGAAAGTAAAGGATCTTGATGTGGTTCTGGTGAAGGTAAAACATGCAATGGATTTGAACCAGTCCCTTTCTTTGAATGTGTCAAGTCCTGATCAACATCAGAGGGGTGAAAAAGAGGTAAAGAAGGATTTGGTTCACGAGATTGATCATTTTTAAAGGGAAATATGGATTCAAAAAACTCAATATCTCTGGAAACGTGTATCTGTTTAGTGTCAATATCAAACACTTCGAATCCCTTTTGACTTGGATTATATCCAAGAAATATACATTTGTGAGATCTGGAGTCAAATTTGGTTTTGTGTGGTTTGGTGTTTGCTATATAACATAAGGAACCAAAAGTTTTAAACAGGAAATAATCAGGTTTGTGGCCAAACAATCTCTCAAAAGGGGTTTGCCAATTTAAAACTTGGGTAGGAAGTCTGTTAACAATGAAGGTGGCCATCAATAAGGAAAATGTCCAAATTTTTTTTGGCAAGTATGCTTGGAACATCAAAGATCGGGCTATTTGAAGCATGTGTTTGTGTTTTCGTTCCACCACCCCCATTTTGTTGAGGTGTATAAACACAAGTTCGATGGTGAAGGATACCAAATATCTAAAAAAAATTTTGGCATTCATGATTGAGAAACTCAATCCCATTATCGGTTCTGATGCTTTTAACCCTTGTATTGAATTGTGTTTTAACCATTCGAAAAAAATTGTCCAAGGTTTTTGCAACTTGTGTTTTATGTACAAGTAAGAAAGTCCAAGTGGATCGACTAAAGTCATCAACTATGGTAAGCATATAAGGAGTGGCAGTGAGTGAGAATTGTCGATAGGGTCCCCAAAGATCAACATGGATAAGGTCGAAGATATCAAGTGTATGAATGGTACTGATGGGAAAAGAACTTCACTGTTGTTTGGCCTTATGACAGATCTCACAGTGTTTAAGTAAATCTAATTTCTTTGGAGAATGCTTAAGAAAATCCAGGTATTGCATTGTGTGAAAAGAAACATGGCCAAGTCTGTTATGCCACTCAAGAAACTGATCAATGGATAAGGAATCAGAAATGTTATTAATATCAAATACTTGATTACAAGAAGTAGTAAACGTTGGAAATTTGGATTGAGCTATCAGTTTATCACTACTTCTATCTTCTTGGAAAACAAAACTAGATTCATCTAACAAATATAATTTTCCTACAAGCTTGCCAACAGCCAATACCTTTTCATTCTGCAGGTCCTACAATAGACAGAAGTTAGGATAGAAAGTTAATTTAAGACTAGCTGTTTGAGTGATCTTTGGTACTGATACAAGATTAAACTTGAAACTAGGTACATATAGGGCGTTTGTTAGACGCAATTTCTAGTTCAATTCAACATTTCCAATATGGTCAACAAATTTGTTTGTTCAATCCCTGAGCCATATCTCATAGCATTTCTGTTAAATCCTCCTCTATTTCCATTCTCTTTCCTGTAATTCATAGATCTAACTAACATAGCTGAATTTTCATTTGAATCAAGAAAGATATTGTGAACCTCTCTCTGTTTCTCGACTCTCAACACCATCGAATATGCCTTATTAACTGAGGGAAGTGGATCCATCACTAGCACTTGATTCCTTATATGATCAAATGTATCATTTAAACCCATCAGAAATTGTATCAACTGATTGGAAGCTGTTAGATTTGAGATTTCCTTAGATGCTGAACAAGTGCAGGTAGGAATTGGCATTAAACACATTAACTCATCCCAGAGTTTCTTCAATTTAGTGTAATATTTTTCAACTGTTAAAGCTCCTTGCGAAATGCTACTGATCTCTCTTTGTATCTGATATAGCATCGGTCCATTACAGTCACCATATCTTTCCTTCAATTCTGACCATAAATCCTTTGCTGATTTGGTATATATGAAAGCTTCAACAATATTTTTTGCAATTGAATTTAGTAACCACAATCTAACCATACAATCTACCCGGATCCATTGCTCGATTCTAGACAAATTTTCCGTAGGTTTATCACATCTTCCATCAATGCAACCTCATTTCCTCTTAGCTCCTAATGCTATGACGATAGATCTACTT